CATCACACCACTGTTTATGGCTGCCATCTGCTGTTTGGGGCCTTGGCCTTGAGAGCTGCTTGTTCAGGGATGAGAGCAGTTCACTTGACCAGCAGGCCTGGATGCTGTGCCCATCCAGGGATGCAATAGAGGAACAGGCTTCTAAATGCAGAGCTGGGAAATATTGCAACAATCCGAGTAAACCGGGTGGCCTGCAAAACATTGATACTATTTTTTAAACATGTTTTTATTGATTTTAGAGTGAGAGGAAGGGAGAGAGAGAAACACTGATGTGAGAGAGAGACACACACATCAATCGATTGCCTCCTGAACGCACCCCCTGACTGGGGTGCAAACCCGAAACTTAAGCACGTGCCCTGACCAGGAATAGAACTGGGGATCTTTCGGTGCATGGGATGACATTCCACCAACTGAGCCACACTGGCCAGGGCAACACTGGTACTATTAACAACTTAGTCGTAACAAAACCTCAGATTTTAACTTCATCTTTTTTTCTGGAGCAGATTTTGCCAGACTGTGGGAGAAGAGGGGGCAGTGGAAACTCATTTCCATCTAAAATTCAATTAAAAAAATGTTTCTACAGCCCAGAAAGGACCGGATGGGACAGTCATTCCTAATAACTACTGTGACTTCTGCTTGGGAGGCTCCAACCTGAACAAGAAGAGTGGGCGGCCTGAAGAGCTGGTGTCCTGTGCAGACTGCGGACGCTCTGGTGAGTGTGGCCCTTCCTGCACCTGTGCCCGTAGACCAGCAGCTGTTCCCCGCACGCCTCTGCCGTCTGCCATGGGGTGGAGGGTGGGGCGGGGAAGTTGGTGGTGGTGATGATTTCAAGTACAGAGGAGTTTTCAGGTCATTGGATATTTTTCTACTTTGGATCTCAAGAAATCATGCCTCGGGAGCCAGGGAAAAGGGAAGGGAGACATTCTGGTCTTGTGTTTGGACTTTTCATGAAGTGAATATTCCTTTGTGTGTGTTGTTGTGAGAAATGTGGGGACACCTGGAGACACAGGCAACACTTTCTTGTATCGGGTGTTGTACATGTAGCACAAAGCTGCGTTTGTTCTGCGGAAGTGCCTGGGCGCACTGGAAGGTACGGAAACATGAATATTGGGGCAGCAGCTACATTTTGAGTTGTGGGAGTCAGAGACCCCTGCGCTGCCCGATAGTAGCATCAATATCGCATCCATTGGCCGCTCATCCCATTTTCTCAAGTGGAACCAAAAAAAAAACAAAAAAAAAACCCTGATAGAGGAAGGAGACAAAAGGGCAGTGCTCTTAGGGCTAATCTGAAGTTGGCTTGGCCTGTTTTGAAATTTTCATTTTTAACCTCTCCAAAGACTCAAATAAAAAAAGACTTTGATCCTGTTCTTTCATCCCTAAAATGAATTCAGGTTTTCAAGTTTTGCTCAAGCTGTTGATTGTTTAATTCTAACCAAACCGTTACCTTTGGCTGGCTGTGGTTGGCTGTTCTACCAATCTCTCATAGATTTTTGTGTCCTAACTAGGCCAACAAGAGATTTCAGACTTGTATTTAGTCTCCTCAACTATGGACTCTTGTAGGTGAGATGCAGTTCAGTTGGACACTGGATCCAGCAGCGAGGAGGCCCTGCTCCTTCCACACGCTTTCCTGTGTCCTTTCTCCTCCTACTTCCAAGAATAGGGCCGGGGTGACCACACCTGGGTGTGCTGGAGCAACTCCGTTCTTCCTTTGCTTGGTCCACGAACTTTAGCTCTAGTCTCTCTCTCTTTTTTTTTTTCATTTGGATTTTGGGTTGTTTAGATTCAAGACTGACTTGAGAAGTAATTTAAAAAGGAGTGGTTTCCATTGCGTGCAACTCTCAACATTTAACACTTAAGGACCCTGACAGGGTGGCCCACTGCAATTCTGTCAGTTCATTTACTTTGAAAACATGATACCTAAAACTGAACCTTGTACTCTCCTGGTACCAGTTTAGAAAAGAGGGCTTGTGTGATAGTGGACTCTGGGTTTTAGATATTTAAAAAGAAAATGAAACAAATGAAATTCAACTCAGTATTTTTAAAATGAACGGCCGTCAGAAGCGAAGTCACTGGGTGTGATGCTCTAGGCAGAAGGCTGTGGGCCGTGGGGGACGTGCTAGAGAGGGCAGCTTCAGGATCCTCATTACACACTACTTCCTTCCCTTCCTTCCCTATAAAAGATGAGGTACTTGAATCTGATTCATGGGGGACCAGACGTGGGCAGTTGATTTTTTTTTTCTATCCAAACCCTTTTTCTTCACAGCCTTTTACTCAGCTTTTTCTTCCCAGGATCTGTCTGCTGTGTGACTCAGGGGACCATTTTATACCAGCCTAGGTGTTCTCATTGCATTTGCCAAGGATTAATTTTGGTGACTAATTTAGCCCAGGTCTGCCTCTGATTTTCCTGAAACAGTTGATACCTTGGGAATAAACAGGTGGCATTAACCCATGGGATGTGCTTGTTAAGAGAGGGGGCAAATACTTCTCCAGGGCCTCCTGGAGTTTTTCCAAGGAAGAGTGTGGAGCTTGGAAGAGCTCTCGTTCCCTCCCAGTCCATCCCACTTCCTGTTTCCAGGGGAGAAAATGAGATTCCCGATCCTGGCACCGTAACTGGCCTATCATGACCTTATTTGGGGTAATCCTGGGACCCATTTAGAATGTAAACAGTTTAAACCTGAGTTGTACAAATTTCAGGAAATAACTCCTATTTTTTCACTCTCTTAGTGCTCTGAGTTAGATTTGACAACTCTGGACTTTCTGGGGTAACGAAGACCTGGGCGTGTGTCGTGGCTGGAGTGTGTGTGCGTGTGCACATGCATGTGCATGGGTGCACACAAATGTATCTGTGGGCACATGTATGTGGGTGCAGATCACAATAATGTCCTCCAGTGGTTAAAGAAAACGAGAGACTCTTATTTACCTACCACATGTCGGACTTTTCAGCTTCTTTTTGCTTTCAGTGCAAATGAGCCACATGGTGTAAGGGCAGAATTGAACGGGCACTGAAAGAGTGGGATTAGACACAGGTAAAAACAAAAATAAAGCAGATGGAGGCTTAACCGCCTGGAACGGGTTATCTGACAGTAATACCTTGCAGAGCTGCCTGTCAAAGTGAAGGACACACATTGTGCAAGAAACACCCATGGAAACACCAGAGAAACACCAGCCGGCCTAACACCCACCAAGTCAACTCATTGTCTGGGATGGGGCTGAGTGAGTGTGTGTGTGTGTGTGTGTGTGTGTGTGTGTGTGTGCGCACACACACGCATGTGTGTGCATACAGAAGAGAAAAAAAATCTCGTGAGGAATCTTTCACTCTCGTTCAGAGCTGTGGACGTACATGTGATGGTAGAGATGATGCCTTTTCAGGGAGGGAGGAATCCTTTTTCCTGGAAATGTTGGCTTTGTCCTTTTACCCTAAATCCCTGTCGCCAGGTGATGCACCCAGTTAATCTCTTTTGGTGCAAATGGTTTATGATCTTGCTATGAAGCATAATGTTGTAATAATATAATAAGAATATTAATAATGCTGTCTGTTGCTTAACCCATGTGCTGATATATTCATCATACATGTCAGCTCATTTGGGAAGAGAAGGCAGGAAGGAGAAGGAGGCAGCGGCTGCAGCACGCACCACGGAGGACTTATTCGGTTCCACATCAGAAAGTGACACCTCAACTTTCCACGGCTTTGATGAGGACGATTTGGAAGAGCCTCACTCCTGCCGAGGACGCCGCAGTGGCCGGGGTTCGCCCACAGCAGACAAAAAGGGCAGTTGCTAAACCCATGAATGGACTCTCTGGGCAATTAGCCATCACCCTCTGACTTGGTCATTGTTCTGGTTCTGACACATTTTTTTTTAAAAAATGAAAGACAACCTTAGATTTTCCCTTCATCCTTGCTTTTTCCTCTTGCCTTCCACCCATCCCTTCCCCCTTGCCCTCGATTTTGAGTATGTACAGCAGAAGCACAAACTACTGAAACAAAACAGAACAAAAGAGCAAACTAGTCCTTCAGAGAGATGGCCTCGTGATGTGCTGTTTATTTTCCAGAGCAATGAGAAGTTAGGCGAACTGTCTCTCGGGGGAGGGGATCTTTTTGATATGAGCAGAGTTGATTTCCTCAGTGTTCCTATTTATTGGCAAAATGAGGAGAGGAGGAATATTGGGTTTGGAAACAGAGAACCAATTACATTAAATAAATTATTATTTATATATTCTAACTGTTATTAGAAACTGACTTTTTTTTGAGAGAGAGAATGAAGGAAAAATCAAAGAAATTGAAGTAATACCCTGTTTAGAAGGAAGCCACTGGGGGAGGATTGATTCAAGGAGACCCGGGCAGGAGGAGCTCCTCGGTGGGAGATGGTTGCACTTTGTACCCCACGGAGTGTCTGGCTCCCCTTGGCAGACCCCTCCCCATTTCTCATCCCTGACCTTTCCGGCTTCCTCCCTGCTTGCGAGAAAATGTCAGCAGTTGCCGAGAAGTGCGGGCTGCTGTGTGCCTCCCTCCGGCACCTGGGTCCCCCCCAGCAGCGTCTGCTGGGCTCCTCTTCTCCATCAGCGGAGCCGCTGTTCGGTGGTTGCTGGTTTTTCACTCACTTTCCTCCTGGTGAAGAGCGATTTCCAAATGCAGGAACGGGACGTAAGCAGAAAGTCATGGACGTAGCAACCCGAGCTGTGCTCCTGGAAGGAAGAACGCTACCTGAAGTACATTTCCCTGCCCCCGCACCCCTCTTTACAAACTTAGAAATTCCCGTTGGATGATCAAGTCCTCCCGTATCCTATTTTTTATAGTGCCCTCCAGGCACTTTGTTTTATGTTTCCAATAGCATCTCCTGAAATAAACCAAAGCCACACTTGCTCAAGGCCCCTGGGGCGATGGAGAAGACCACCCACCTTGTTGGCAGTCTCAAGAGTGAACAGCTATGCGGGCCTAGTCAAAAGGTATGTCCCGGCTGACCTGTCTTACCATGAGGGCGAACCATCATAGTTGTTTTTCCCCCCTTACTTTCTTTTCTTCCCTCCCCACCCCCACCTACCTTGTCTTTTGTGGGTTATTTTTTGGGGGGAGGGGGTTGGACCCTCTTCTTAGTGTGAGAGTGACTCCCGGGTAGCCTTCCCCTCTGCCGTGTCTGTGCATGTACCCCCACAGGGGCCTGGCCCTAGTGTGAGGACTGAGCTTGCTTCGGGCTCCGTGTGGAGAATGGGGGCTTCTGGCTTCTGGCTCAACTCTAAGAGAAAATGCCTGGGGAAGTGCCTAGCTAATTGCCTCCCTTGGCCACGCCTGGAGCGGGTGTCCAGGGAACTGGTCTGGGAGTGGGCTGCTGTACTTGGCAGGAACGAGGGTGCCTGGCCATAGGGGGACTGCATGTTGAGGTTGGCATTTCTTGCTCCAGGTACCAATTTAACAGCCAAGGGGATGCATCCAAATGAAAGCAGGTCTGTGATTAGGCACAGCACTCACCTGAGTTGATCTGAAGATTCTGAACTCCCACTAAGTGCGGTTAAGTTCTTTGGCTTCCATGAGAACATGGGTCCAGAGACATGGGTTCTGCCACTTGGCTTGGGTTGGGCGAGGAGAGAGGCCACCCAGGCTCTTAAGTGTCTGGGAAGATCCGCTTTGACAGTCCATCCTTTGCAGACCCTCGGTGAGTTAGACATCTCGTTAAAATAGCAAACCAACCAGACAAAAGCAAGGACCAAGCAAAGAAA